ACGAGTTTTCGAGCTGTAGTCATCTTTAGTTGATCTTATTGCATATCGTATTTTGGAGTTTGCGGAGTTACTCCTTGTGTGCTCAATGAAAATGCGACCATTAGATACATATCGGTACCATCTTCGTCTTTCAGTTCGAACCCCTTTTGTCATTTATACTTCATGAACACCTTTGCCATTCAAAACTCGGTAAACGCTTGTTGCTATCTCGAACTTTATTTTTGCGAGTCTTGTGAAATGTACGATGTACGCAATGAATGAGTTTTTTTATCAGAACTGATAAAACTGAACAATAATACTGATGAAAAGAGTCTTTTAGCATTGGGCAGCAGGAATGACCCAGAATCAGCAATGTTTTTCATAGGAAGAGAAGTCAAATACCGGATGAATAAGTAAAAACCAAGAACAGTTGACAACATAGATAGAAATTGACTAACGGCAAATCGAGGAGCAAAAGCTAGTGTTAACATTCGCCGAGCGAGGAGCGCGAGATCATACAGTTAATCACTAATTATTATCACTCCCTAACATTGAACACGCTGCTTATGTCTGACATCATCAAATCGATTCACAAGTTGTATGAAATTCAACATCGAGTAGCTGATCCTCAAAGCATTGAACACGAGGATACTGATGGTTGCTAAAGAAAACATGAACATTTTCAAGCTCCCAAAGCGTTGAAGACCATAACTTACCTATTCAATAACTCACTGAAAACGTTCTAACAAAGTCGCAGACACGTCTACAAGAGTGCATGTGATTATTCTTTTTCTCGAATGATACTTCAAATGTTCGCACCTACAAAACAATAGAAACGCTATTAACAAGACTTCTTTTGATTCTAGACTTTACCTTTATATTTTGAAGCGATATAGTAATGACTCTTAATTATTGGATTTGAAGAAAGCCGCTTGTGAATTGCCGTAGCCTGAGATACTAAAAAAACTCCGAAACGGGAACTATTGAGATATTGAATAAAAACTCGTCCTCTGGGGATGAAGCTTTTACCATTTCTTGAACAGCGACATCATACTTCTCGACAGAACATTCTATTGAAGATGAGCCTGAAATTAGTATACGCTTCAACTGAAATGAATCTGTGTGTTGATACTAAATGTTGATACTAAAGATATACGATGGGAATGGGGCATGAGAGGGCAAGTATTCTGATTAAGAGCTACATAGAACACCATGTTAAGCAGAGAAAACACAAATCGTGGTTGTATAAAGCACTTCCTTCGACCCAATTCCGAACAGCTACTTTGCCTATTCGTTCTAGCCCTCAAAATTGTCTATGCGGACAGGATTGGAAGGTCAAATGTTACTTTCACTAACGCCGGAATATAAACTTGAGCTATAGAAAAAAATAATGAAGAATGCTTGAACTGGAGGTACTTTTGAGAAAATACAAACATTTTGCACTATGTCGCAATAACTAACCTTTATTGTAAAGTCGTATACACCAAAATTGACACGTTCCCCATCAAGGTCCAACTGCACACATCGCATTGCTGCTGCATAACCAGCAGCAAATACTGTTCGCACCTACCAGTCTCGATATTCCACAGTTGTTTAACAGTTGTTTCGTGTGATCCAGATATCAGTCTAGAAAAGAGTAGTCATACCGATGGATGTTTGAACAAAAAAGAATGGACTCAAGTTTGAATCACATATCAGAAGTAGAACTAGATTGCTTTACATTATGGTCTATTGCTGGTTTACATTCACACCAACTAAAATGACAGAAGCAGCAAGTTTTCCAATGTATTGCGCGCAACGAATATCACAACATGAAAAGGTGTAAATCAGTGAATATGGAACATTCTAGCAATACAGTTCAAATTTTGCTGATCAGCTTCGCACTAGAGTTGGAGGGTGAGTTGCACCTATCATGTTTACTCGCAAAGCTAAGATTCGTGGCCTTGGCTTGGTCATCAAGCTTTATCAAACAAAAAGCCCATGAAGCTGTTCAATTTCTTAGAGCTTTGCCCAAAAATTTGCTAAATTCTGAGATTGTGAATGTTCGTGAAACTATCTATCTTTACTGAACCTTTGGAGTGACCTCACAGCAAGTAAAAGGAGAACAAAATCCGTCAAATTCTCAACTAAGATTGTAAAAATGAAACTTTGGAAAAAGAAAATGAAAACGAAAGTAGACTCTCACCTTTTCTTTCTCCTTCATGAGCCTTGGCCACCATTTAGACTCTTTTTTGGGGATAGTCAACTCGATGACTCGTGTATTGGTAGGTGTACGCTTCATACGTTGGCCATTAATTTGAGCAAAGAACTCCAATGTCGTTTCATAAACTTTGGCTTACACCCCTGAAATGATGCCATTGGGTAAAAAGAAGGAAAGAAGCCTGCCAACAAGCAATCTATAAGAAGTTTGCAAACAACATGAGAACTCACTTGAAATGCAGCTTTGACGCATCTGCTGTGAGATCCTCAAATTTCACATCATCGATTTGAATAGTAACACACAGAAATGATTCCCTTTGAGCCAAAATGACTGATGGTTGACGGACACCATTCTGAGATGAAAGTGAGATGCTTTCGAGTTCTATATTTCGGAAAGTTAAATGGAGTGAGAGACTTGAAAGTGTGATGAGAAAATCAACGACAATTACAATGCCTCCAAAAGAAACATGGTGGGGTCATAATATGTCGCTAAGCATTCTTGATGATGGAAAACCTACAGCTAGTGAGTTCTCTCATAACTCACTAGCTGTAGATTTAGCAGAACTTTTCCCTCATGCAAATGGCCCCAGTTTATGCGACTTCGCAGGAGACGAGATTTCATAAAATTTCCGATCGAGGTTGCAGTATATGGGGTGAAATAGAAAGCTGCACAACGCTGGCTGTTATATATGCCTTCTAATGAAAAGCAGATTAATCCCCAAGAACAAGAGATGGCGACGTGCATGAATTAAAGGCAGCGTCCAGGCAAATCTGCACATAAGAGGACCTGGAGTAAACAACTGTGACTTGAACTGAAAAGTCAGCAATGTATTTCGAGGAAGGATAAAAAGCAGCGAGCATTTCAGAGGTACGAAAGCATATCTTGAAAAACCAATGCACTTTGAGAATATAGGACCAGTTTTCGATCGTGAGACAAAAAAGCAGCTTCAGACAGGAAAAAATGATAATAAAACTCTCTGGAAAAGAAACTTC